TANAATAACAATATATATATATATATATATATATATATATATATATATATATTACATATCACATACACTATGAGCAAATATGACTTAACAAAAATACGATACTTCAATATTTCTACTCTCTGTGTCCGTTCTGGGAAACGACAACTTCGAGGTTTGCCATCCCATATAATAAGCTTACACGAGTCACTAGCACAGTCGTCGAGCGGGTTATTCGTACGTGTGTGAAGCTTACTACCACTTTCCGACAACTAAATAGATAATACAATATAGATTTGCAACAACATAAGACTAGAATTAAATATACGTTTAAGAAAAATAGACGCGTAGAGTATGCTATCAATATAAAAATCTCTCACGCATGCAATGAGAAAAAATACTGCAGCGCAACAATGATTAAAAAGCTATAGGTACATACGTTTACGTATACAGCAGGTGCTTTGATCTGCAGCGGAAACCGGTTTCATATACAGCATAGCTACAAGCATCCACACGATGAGCGACCTCATGACGAGGCCACTTTTCGCACAAGCCAGCATATTGTTTGCTGCCTAAATATTCGGCGCAATAAAGGTCCGAGTATAGCTATTCTGTATATAGCGAATGGTTAAATTCCTTTTGATCAAGTCGAATGGAGGCTATCTGCGTTCGTAATAGGTTTTTTTACGAAGCAGCAAGCGCGTCTGTCGATTGTCATAGAATGCCCAGTAAGGTGAAAAGATGTACGGTTTTGTGAGAACTTGCAACACGTTGGTTTAGGTTGATGGTTCACATTCACACTCTCTTGTACATTTGAAATAAATATCGAGTACTTTACTGAACACATAAATCACCTGTCGGTTTTTTCTTTAAAAAACAAACCAAAATAAAATGTGTTGTTGTTTTTAAAAAATAGAAGACAAATGATATAAAAAAATGGGTTTTTTTAAAATTATTCAATTTTAGAAGTAAGCGTTCACGTTCAGCTTTTTCTTCTAAAAACAAAATTGATTTTACCCTTTTCTTAATGGATTGAGGTTATGACTAAGGGTGGTTGGGAGTATAGGCTGCGAATCAAATAGGCCGCACGGTAAAAATCACTCATGTTTTTCTTAGAGAAAGTCCTTGGGTATTTTTTACACAAAAATCTCACAATTGCTAATTTTATCACTGAAAGCGTATGCTTGGGAGTTGGAACTTGAAACCTTGGGCTTGAAGTCCTTTCCAGACTGTGCTGACGGGTTTTTGTCCCTTTTTGACCAAATAAAGCAGTGCGTTTTTAAATAAAAAAATTTACCAGATTTCTTCTATGAACTGGGCGAGAGCCGGGGCCCGGGAGGCGCGAACTTGGAACCAAACAAAAGCTTACAAGAAGTTTCCCGTCGTCGACGGCATCCCTCGATGTCACTGATGCCAGAGGACAGAGAGAAGCTATTTCAACCTCTTTTTGCTTTTTGTTTATCTCTTTTTTTGGCCACTTTTTTACTGTGGGACTCGAAACATTTACGGTATGTAGTATGTACCCCAGAATATATTTTGGGACACTGCTGTATGAATTTACGGCTACGCGTGCTCCGCTATACCCTCACACAAGAAGGGAAGTGGATTATGTTATTTATATGTACACAGCAAGTATTTTTATGTAATGTATTTTTTATATAAAAAATGAATAGCGGTATTTAATACTCACCTGTTGGGTGTGTGAGCACCCAATTGTTCTGGGTGCGGAATACATGGTAGTCGGGGATATTGCCTATCAAGTATCAAGTGATAGATGCGTACCGCCAACAATTGAGCCAAAGATTATGCCATCAGTTGAACCACAAATTAGACCAAGGTCGATGTTTGAAGGCTTTAACACCACGACCTATACTATGAGAGAAAGAGAGTATGTAGTGAATGTACCTCTCTAGAGAGCGAGAGCTACAGGTCCCCCAAGGCCCAAGCCCCCAACCCTACTTGCCTGATTATTGTCCACCTCTTTTTTGTCTAAATTGTGGCCTGACATGGACCCTGGACAAAAAAAGAGGTTTGACTGTGCTGTACTGCGGTACATAGTTACTTTTAATATTTATTTTTAAAAACAACCCAATAAAAACAAGGACCCCTTTCGGGCCTTTCCACGTAAATATGTTCACCAACGATACGGAGGGAAAAAGCGATATATCCGGCACATTATTGAGCCTTGAACAATTTTAGCTTATTAGAATGGTATGTATGTTCGTAACTGTTTTTCTTTTTTTTACAAAACAAGACTATACCTATCAGTTGTGACTTGTTACGAGTTTTTAATATAAAAAAGTGACTGTGAGACGACACTCGACTCTCCGACACTGAGTGTGACTTCTTTTTTCTTCTTTTTTAGAAATAACAATACTAGAGTATCATATCGTAATTCGTACATAGCCCTCTCTATTGACTATTAGGAGGGCTTTAATTAAAAAAATATGACTATATATACTTGTGTGCTTTTTTTTTACTCTTTTCTTTCTCTGAGGAAACTATATATAAAATATATATTATTTTAATATATAGTTTTAAAAACCTATTTTCAGTAGGCAACATACGACTAATTTGTTTTGCAAGAATAAATTCTGTAGAACGAAATAGAGAGAGAACCTCCTTTTTAGTTTTTGGTGCCTTTTTCCTCACCCAGAGAGGGGTGTACCTCATTCATCGAATATCTATTGGCTAAAATTTAACAACAACTGACTTGTGGTTCACTCTGAAGTTACAGTGATTTTAATAAATAAAAACGCGTATTCGAATTTATCGAACTCAGAACAATTTGTCTTTCACTCTTTCTTCAAAAGCTTCTTGACACTGAGACGGCCGAGTGCCTGACACTGCTAAGCTCATTACGTTATGGGGTAGGGAATAGACGTTTGACGTAAACGCAATTTATTCTATTTTAACCGTTATAACGGTTATAATGTTATCAGAAGTGCCTACCTAAGTACTCTTATAGGACTGGTTCGTATTGTAAAAGCGGTACACAGTAAAATATTTAGACCCGCAAGGTGTATCTATGAACATACAATGGACCGCATATAGAATAAAATATTCATTCTATTTATAACCGTTTAAACGGAACCCGGTTTGAGGTTAGCCTGGCAGCCGTACAGAGTACAGTTTATTTACTCACAAGTCGCAATCACACAGGCAGTCAGACACACATGCGCGATTGCTCAGTTCTCACTTCTCACTGCACAGTGCACAGTGCATAAATAACTGCACTGTGCGCAACTGCACACTCAAGTCCAAGACGGTATTTTTTTTTTAAACTCATTCCGTTATTGGAGAAGGGAATAAAAGCTGAACGTAGACGCGACTTTTTTTTCTTTTTAAAACGTTGAAACGATTATATTGTGATCAGAAGGCCTGCCTGTTATTTTCAAGCAATCACTATGAATATCAAAATCACTACACAATCCGATACAACGTGCACGATTCAAAGTTCATACAAAGTGCGCACCTAAACATATAATAGAGGACCATATATAGAATACAAATTGAACGTAAACGTATATTTATTCGATTTATAAAACATTGTCATCACATTTGTGTGGAATTATCAATTTTAAACTAATAGTTGTAGTGTCAGCGACTCCGGCACTTCAAAAAAAAACTATAAAAACATCGGACTATTTGATAAATTCTATTTTTTAACCGTACCTATAGACCTATAGCCTATCAGAATTTCAGAACCGTTAAGATAAAACTTTTTATTTATCTTCTTGCCAAGCCTTAGGAGTCAGGTATTCAGGACTTAGGATTCAGGACTCAGGACTCAGGACTCAGGACTCAGAACTCTCAGCCTCTCAGGTCTCAGCCTCAGTTCTCACAGGCTCACATAATGATATAAAGTCCAGGACACAGGAGGACCACAAGCTCACTCTGATTTGTTTTGGTTTTTTTGGTTTTTTTTCTATTTTTTAAAAAAATGAATAAAACAGACCACACCGCCACAGGGGCCAGGGGCGGCCAGGGCTGAGGGCTATAGGCTGCCAGCCGCCAGGGGCAGGCTCACCGCTCAGGCGCTCACGCCTCACGCTCACAGCCACTCACTGTCCTTGATCCCCGAGTGTCCTGACTCCTCAGTCGTCGGTCCTCTGTACTCAGTCTTCAGTCGCAGCCAGAGCTACCGTGTCATTGTTAACAACAACAAAAATAAGAGAAAAAATTGCCGTAATTTTTGTAAGAAATACGTATTAAGGTCCATTCCTGATCTTTAAAATTAAGATTTACGTAAGGAAATCAAATTTCGGAATTAGGAATTTAAGAAGTCGGACTCTAAGAAATATTTTATTTCCTAATTAAGAAAACAGGAATATGGCCGATTATGTTCTTAATAAGAAATAGGCAGATCCCAATATTCTACAATAAAAATTAAGAAACGGGATATATTCTTATTTTATCTTATTTTCGCTCACATGGTTACTAAAATCATATATTTAGTATGTATCAATTAGTACAGTAATCAGAGTGTATATATATTTCGTTTCTATAGTTAGATATATTGTACGTCGGATTGTAGATTAGTATGGCGGCAACTTGTGAGGATCCTGCGGGAAGGGCAGCTACAGAGACAGTCAGCAGCACACCGACTGGAAAGGACACGGCGAGCTCTGATAATGTGTAGTCAAACACAAAGAAAGTGCAATCAACATCCAAAGTGTACAAGGAACTCATCAATGTTGACGCTGTAAGCGGGTCACAGTTTATTTGCTTGAAGTTGTACCGAGGGTTGAATACAATACAAAAACTCGATTTCGCGGCTACAAAGTATAAAGTAGACGATAATGACTGCAATAAGACCACCTGTAGATATTGTGATAACGATAAGACGTTAGTCTGGAGCCGTAAGAACGCTAATAACGCTATCATTCATTACGGGAATAAAGCACGCTAAAGAGTGGTATGATGATATTAGCAATTAGTCACTAGACAACTGGAGAATCAAGCAAAGAAGAATGGGCTGCAGCAGAGTATTATGGGTTTGGTTCTTCCAGCAGGCGACCGCTTATGAAATATAAATTCTGCTTAGAGATTAGCAGACATATTTTGGGTGCGATGTGTTGCAAAAAAAAATGATCTTCTTTTTGAACTCGGAAAGAGGCGCTGCAATTTTATGCAGTACCATTTGCTGCACTCGAGAATGATATTTGAAAAGATGCCACGGGCGTCAACTATTTGAGATCTATTCTATATTGAACTGTACCTAACAAAACCAATAGTTCTGATCCAGACCGAATATCTGTATTCTTAGGACTGAAGGAGATAATTGGGTCACACACTGGGGAAAACTGGTGTAGAAAATCAACTCAATATCTTTGAGACTCTTCTATACGCAGACAACCAGAAAGCAACGAAAGATGTAAATACACCAGCTTACGATAGTAAACCCGTATCCGACATCTTGCACTTTTGTGCAACCAGATCAGCGCTCATGACCAAGAGCTCCAAAGGTGCGGACAAATTAGTAGCTGCACAAGAAGTCTTAAACTATGAAGAATTTACCAGGTCTTTTGCAAATGGTGGTGTACGCTGGATTGGAGTCTATTTAATGGTCAAGAGAGAGAATCTAAATTGTGCTGCGATCCAGGCCTTAATAGATGATCCTAAAGAGAGTTTGCCAGGGACTGATAGTCTGTGGGGCGCTGTAAGAGGCAAGATTCAAAGCGATAAATTCAAAAGCACAAAAGATATACGCAAATTACGGCGAGAATTTTTAGCAAGTATTCGCCAATTGATACAGTGCCAATGAATATACAATCCGCGAACGACAGCTTGGCGGATTCCATGGAACATATACTCGATTGTAAACTTCTTTTGGAGGATGATATTAGTATCGACGTGGCCAAATCATCGGGGCCAAAATCAGAATACGAGGTTACAAGCGAAGAAGAACTAACTGAGGCAATACAGGCTTATCGCGTTAGACTTAGAGAGAACATCTCGCATTACTTTCCACAGAATCTTAATATTGAGACACTAGTTAACTACTATCTCCACCCGATCCACAAGGATCTAATGTCACTGGACTTCACATCAGAAACACGAACTACAACACTGGCCGAAATAAAAAGGGAAATAACAAATAGATATGTTGCTATATTTGAGGCAGAATCTATTCTGGAGAAATACTTGACAGACAAGACGACAGTTGTGACGGAACAATCAACAGAATATGGTGAGTCTATGGAATCATGTACGCCTAATAAGCCTACAGGTGAAGGAAACAAACGAAAAGCCGATCAAATCCAAAGCAGTGTATTGTAATCAGGTAAATTTCTAGATACTGTTGATCTTTTAACACCATCCCCCATCAGTAAACGACGTCGAAAACTAGCGCAGTTGAGGCAGGTAGCTGTAAACTCCGATGGAAATTACTAGGTTTCAAACTATATTAAACTAAAATACAATTTAGTCAGTTAGGATTTAGCAGTGGTAGCTTGTGTAAGAATGATCGGGACTGCCTCTTGTTAAGAGCCTAAATATCCTCGATCCCACAGGGCGTACCTCTAGCTGTTCTTTATTGAATAATTTTCACTAGAAGTACTAAGTGTCCATGACC